GCAGTGAAGGTATTCTAGCAGAACCTGTTTCTGCACACACTCCTCTGAGTTCCTGTGTGAACAAACATTTGATTGTGGCCTGAAGCTTTTCCCACAAAGCTTTGAAGTGGTTTCTTGATAGTAGGCTTTCTTCTCTCTCTTATCAAGCCTAAGAATCACTAAAGCTTTCTATCAGGACTTGTTCATCTCAACTGTTTCTTTTAGTGGTTGATGTTTTCCTTGCCATATAGAGATTACAACAGCTTTTGAAGTAGAACCACCAACCTATAAGGTAATGGCAGGCAACAGGTAAACAGTATAACAGAGTTGGAAGGGACCATTTTACGACCATTTTTGTCACATTTATTAGTTGAATCACTGCAGGTGTTAAGTTAGTAACACGGTTGTTAAGTGAATCTGGCTTCTCCATTGACTTTGCTTGTCAGCAGGTCGCAAAAGGGGATCGCATGACCCCTGAGACATTGCAACCGTCATAAATATGAGTCAGTTGCCGAGCATCAGACTTTTTATCACATGACCATGGGGATGCTGCAATGGTTGTGTGAAAAACAGTCATAAGTCACTTTTTTCAGTGCCACTGTAACTTTGGTCACTAAATGAACTGTTGTAAGTTGAGGACTACCTGTATTTCTGTTCAGCCCAATTCCAAATACTACTGTCAATACTCCAGGTACATCTTTCAGTTTCTTTCCTTCTCTTAATTAAGCTTCTCAAATTCTATCTTAACATCCCTCACTGAATACTTTGACTTCATTCTTCTCCTACAAGTCCCCAATAAGCAATTCCAACTTCATAACAAGTTTCTCCCACCACTTTGCAATGTACCAAACCCATTTTCTCCACCTCAGGAATCTCTAGTGAAGCTGTGGCTGGGAAGCAGGCAATGACCAAGCATTCCCAGGTTTCCACAAGCACCTATCTATATAAATAAAAATGTAAATGTTCGTTTGTTCAAAATCTTAAATCTCCGAACGTTCTTCACCGATTGCTTTAAAATTTTGACACAACATTGCATTCGAATACGTGCGTGTTTTTATATACCTACTATTATATAGATGTCACACCTGTGACACAAATGTGCGCTTTCTCTTTTCTTTCTTTTCCATTTAACCAGACTCAGCCACAGCAACGCGTGGCCGGGTACAGCTAGTCTAATAATAAATTAAAAGGGCCACATCCATGTATCCTACTGCTCACACCATTATGAAAAGCTGCATCTGCTTCCAGGTTCTTGGCTTATAGTTTACTCACTCACATACTCGCAGCCCTGATCAATAGTCCACACTCAAAACACTTTCAATCAATCAATGAGACACAACCATTTCTTTAGAATAAATGGAGACCCAATGCATTTAAAGAAACAGTAAAATGTTATTAGTAACAATGTGGTTTTGCTCTTCTCTCTTGTGTCTCTCTGTCTCCCCTTCCCCCTTCTCTCACTCACCCACCCACCCACCCATCCACTCACTCACACACACCACAAACACATTCTTACCCACCTCCTTTTCAACTAGGCTGGCAGGCCTTGGTCATGGGACAGAAGACACCAAGTTGAGATCCAAAAAAATGATTCAAACAGCAGGTGGCCTTCAGTACTTCTTTTATTTCCCAAAGTCCTTGCATTGTTGATTCTCAAGACTGGTAGTTGTTGATGGGACTTGAGGAGGGGTTTCCTATGTGCTCAGGCTTAACTTCTTTTGTCTTGTTCAGGTGACATTTTTTTCCTTTTTCCTTAAAGACTTGTTTCCTTCTTAACTACCTCTCCTCCCCCCACCAAGAAATCTTTTAGACAGGATTCCTGACTTTTGTCTACCCTGCTTACCTGCCTGCTTCATTTTTAAGTGCAGCTTCAGCCCAGACTCAGTTTCCTAAAATTTGTCATTAAATGATTATACAAAACCTCACTGGGATTATTCACGTGTGAAATTTCCTATTAGAACAGAATAACAGAGTTTGAAGGGACCTTGGAGGTCTTCTAGTCCAGCCCCTTGCTCAAGCAGGAGACTATACCATTTCAGACAAATGGCTGTCCAGTCTCTTTTTAAAACCCTCCGGTGTTGGAACACCAACTTCTGGAGGCAAGCCATTCCACTGATTGTTCCCATTGTCAGGAAATTTCTAGTTAGTTCTAGGCTGGATTTCTCCTTGATGAGTTTCTATCCATTACTTTTTGTCCTGCCTTCAAGTGCCTTGGAAAATAGGTTAACCCTCTCGTCTCTGCAGCAACCCTTTAAAATATTGGAACTCTACTATCATCTCACCCTTAGTCCTTCTCTTTTTTAGATTAGACATGCCCAATTCCTGCAACCATTCTTCGTAAGTTTTAGACTCCAGCTCCCTAATCATCTGTATTGCTCTTCTCTGCCCTGGCTGACATCTCCGGCCATGCTCCTGGCCATTTGCCACACTGGCTAAATTATTCTACAGTACTAAAGCAGCTCTTGAACAAACATAAGAAACACTATACACCGATAAAAGAGGAACAAGTGGAGGCAGGATTTCTGTATAATTGGAAATGGGGGACTGGTGGTTTCTGGCCTCATCCTGGGAAACAATTATTGTGGCTTTTAGATTGTCTGTTGCTTAATTTTGTTTGGTTTTATTGGTTAGTAAGTTTTGCGAGGTCTAATTAATCTACTTTTTTATTGTATACTAGCTGTACCCAGCCACGCGTTGCTATGGCTCAGTCTGGTACAAGCGTGTTGCTTTTACGTCCAACAGATGGCGGGTTTTTTTTTAAAAAAAACATGTTTTACCTGTCACAGGTGTCACATCTATATAATATAGGTATATAAAAACATGTGCGTATTCGAATGCAACGTTGTGTGAAAATTTCAAAGCAATCGGTGAAGAACTTTCGGAGATTTAAGATTTTGAACAAACGAACATTTACATTTTTATTTATATAGAAGATTGTATACTTGCTGGGTATTCCATTATTTCCTTGGTGTCAGGTTCAATGTTTCTACTCTGAATAGAATTAAATTATTATCCCCTTAATTGTGCTGTACAGTTAATTCTTAAACAAAAATATTGTTCTTTCTTTATTCAGTTTCTATGGCCGTCCATTTCAGCCAATGACTTTGGGCTTCTTATTGGCCTATTCATATCCGTTGCCTTTCTTCCTTGCCTTCTGGTGTTTTGGTTGTACATAGGAAACATCTCCAGAAAGCAACAAAAAAAGGTAATCAAAATAAACACTCCCCGTGCAATTCTTGCAGTATCCAGCCAGCCACAAACGCTTCCAACTTTTCCTCTTCCATTCCCTCTGTGCCAACATCCTATTTTATTTCCCAAAGACATCAGAATGCTGTAATTAGTAAACGTTTGATTAATGATATGGTTCTCTCAAATATCCAGAGGCTTTTGAATTACTCCAAGCGTTTTCAGCTCCTAAACATAAAAATATGTGACTTCATAATGGATGTGATCAAAAGGTGGCACCAACAAAGAGAAAGAAAGACAAGGAGAATTAAATATAATTTGATTAAAGTTTTAAAATTGCAATTGTTTAAATTTGAAGCCACCTGGAGCTTGAGGCTCAGGCCAAATAAGCTTCCTGCTTCCTTCTCACACCTGGCCTAGTCCTTGGGTATATTTCTGCCAAGGTATTCTATGCAATATGACCTACTAGGAAAACAAGTGTTATATAACATTATCAAAACTTTATTATGGTGAAAGACCAGCATTAAGGGTACATTTAGTTTAAAAAAAAACATAGAAAATAATCAAAGTCTTAAGAATGATTATTATAAACAGCTAAAAGATATAAAAGAGAAAAGTATACATAGAAACAGAAGTTTAAATGGAACTGAAAGGAAAGCTAGGAGAATGAGATGGGAGTACAGAGCATAACGGTTAATATGGGACAGACTAAATATTTCACTCTACAGAACATGCCATTTGTGGAGCTGGATGCTCATTGAAGGCTAGTTTATACCACAGGTCATCCATCACCTGATGAATGTTAAATACTGCTCCACAGAAACCTGGAAGCATTACACACTGCACCAAGGTTACTATCTGAAAGTTAGCAGAGAGGCATAGAAATGTCTCGTGAGCCCTGGATATTTATGCAGTAATGGCAAGATAAGCCTGATGCAAACATCTCTACTAAAGAAGCACATGCTGTTGTTTCACCAAAGGGGGAGGTGGCCGAGCAGTTAAGATGCCGGGCTTGCCAACCAGAAGGTTGGCTGTTTGAGACCTAAGTGATGAAGTGAGCTCCCTTTATTTGCCCCAGCTCCTGCCAACCTGGCAGTCCGAAAACAGGTAAATGCAAGTAGATAGATACCACTTCAGTGGGAAGGTAACAGTATTCTGTGTGCCTTTGGCATATAGTCATGCCAACTACAAGACCATGGCAGAGATAACGCTGACTTTTTGGCCTTGAATCGGAGATCAGCACCATCCTCTCTAGAGTCAAGACACAACTGGCAGGGGAAACCTTTACATTTTTATCCACAGAAAGGGAGGCATTGAATTATAAACTGACCTCTGAATTCTGTTAATGAAAAGAACCAACCTTGAATTCTTTGGTGTCCTTTAAATTCAGCAACCGCAAGATCATTCATCTGCACAGTTAAAATGCTGGCTTAGAAAGTCTGGGGCTGAAATCTGGAGTACACCAAAGATAGAAAGCTGAAATTCTGCATGCAACATTTCTATGATCTATGATGATCAATATGCAAAAATAATGTTTTAAAAAAGTAACTTTTGTGCAATTGCACTTTTCTGCAAAACTGATCATCCACTAACCTCTGCTGATAATCAGATATAGGTAGTTAGCCTTTACCAAAGTAATATTTTCCATCTTTCTCTCCTCCTTCATGTCCAATATTAAGACATGATTCACTAAAGAGAATAAGGCCACAAATTAAATTAATTTCTAAACTGCATTCCCAATGGGAAATCAGACATTCAAGGCTTTTCTACACTTATTACTGTCTGCCTCATGTGGACTTTCTTGTGGGCAGTAAGGGAGGAATAATGTGTGAAGCACCGTCCACACTCTGGACATCTGAAAGGTTTCTCCCCTGTATGTAAGCCTAAATGATTTATAAGTTTAGATCTAGTACTGAAACCTTTCCCACACTCTGGACACTCATACGGTTTTTCTCCTGTGTGAGTCCTATGGTGTACTACCAGATGGGAATTCTGACTGAAGCCTTTCCCACAATCCGGACACTCATATGGTTTCTCTCCCGTGTGAGTCCTCTGGTGTATCACCAGCTCAGAATTCCGACTGAAAGTTTTCCTGCATTCCAAACACTCAAACGGTTTCTCTCCTGTGTGAGTCCTCTGGTGTATCGCCAAGTGGGAACTACGGTTGAATTTTTTCCCACAATCCAGACACTCATAAGGTTTCTCTCCAGTGTGAGTTCTCCGGTGTATCACCAGGCCAGAATTCCGACTGAAACTTTTTCCACAATCCAGACACTCATATGGTTTCTCTCCTGTGTGACTCCTCTGGTGTAGCACAAGGTGGGAATTCCGACTGAAACTTTTCCCACAANACCCACTGGAATAAAATTTGGGGTGGGAAGGAACATGCAGCAGCAACGTACAACTTGTTCAGCCTCTGGTTTCTACCCTCTTTCTGCAGCTTGGAGGAAATCAAACGGCCCTACTTGCTCCCGGCCTCTCCTCCGACCTCTTCTCAACTCACCTTCCAGCTGCTGCAGTCCTGGGAAGAGCAGGACAGCAGCCCTCCATGCTACCATCCTCCCATGGGTCAGCCGGAAAAGGAAATTCCTCTGTTCTTCTCCTCTCTAGAAATCCAGTACTCGATTGTTTCAACACCTTTCGACTCTGTCGCTCCCCCTCCCGTTGGATTTCAGCACTCAGCAACCATCGATGCCGCTACTGTATTGACGGCCTTCTAGACGCCGGGGGTTACTTATTTAATAGAGCGCGCGCCATCTAGCGACAAAGGGCTGACTTACAGGCTTCTGTCGTTTGCAAGATTTTTGATTGATTACTATATACTACTCAGTGTTTCTCAACCTTGACAATTTTAAGGCATGTGGACTTCAACTCCCAGAATTCCACAGCCAGCATTGCTGGCTGTGGAATTCTGGGAGTTGAAGTCCACATGCCTTAAAATTGTCAAGATTGAGAAACACTGTGCTACATCAATGCACTCGTACCTACTGTAACTGAAGCAAGAACTAAACCAAGGGAAAGGATCCTTTGGGGAGAGTGGGTGGGACAGAGACGATGGAGATGCTGGCCCAACTAGACTCAGGAGACCCCAGTTCAGCAGTTGGCTGTAATCTCTGTTGCATGGAGGAATTTGAATGAAAACAACACCAACATACATTGTCTTGATTTTTTCTTTCTTTCGGGAACTCAAGGTGGCACAGAAAGCACTTCCTAGGTAGCATCCTGGGTCAAAAAAAAGAGGTTGATTTTAATCTCCCCTACCTGCCTATCTCCCTTCACGGGCATACTTTTTGACTGTCAATTGGCATCCCAATATTCCATGGCTCTTGGAATACCTTCATGCCTGACCTAACACCAAACTGGAACTTCTTGCAGTCTTAATCCCCACGTCCCTTATGTCCAATGTTTGTTTTTGGCACCTTCAAAACAGACTTCATACCTGGACTGTTTCTCTGCAGGTTCCTTGGCAAGGATTTTTGAAGTGGTCTCCCCCTTTCCTGAGGGACTAGGTTTTATGCCTATGGCACGACTGGAACCGAGCACCTCCCAGTCTGTAACTTGCAGCTTTAACCACTACACCAAATTGCTCCTCAAAATCTACCTACTCGGCTGTTCCTGTGGCTGCAGCCTTTCAAGATCTAGTACATCTTTGCAATTGAGTTCTCATTATTCTCCAGAAAAAGGACTTTTTTTGTCTTAAATCTGAGCTTCAAACTTTTCTTCTGAGGAAATGGAGTCTCTCCAACTGGAGACTGGTGGCTTCTGGCCTGTCCAGAAGAAATAACTCCTTTCGCTATGAGATTGCCTGTTGCAGAATTTTACTTGATTTTATGTTATGTAGGTAGGTAGGTAGATGATAGATAGATAGATAGATAGATAGATAGATAGATAGATAGATAGATAGATAGATAGATAGATAGATAGATAGATAGATAGATAGGACTGGCATCAGTGAAATGGAAGGAAAGAACACAGTGGAGGTTGTGAGTGGATGCAGGATCCCTAGGACCGGTATCAGTGAAATGGAAGGAAAGAACATAGTGGAGGTTGTGAGTGGATGCAGGATCCCTAGGACTGGTATCAGTGAAATGAAAGGAAAGAACACAGTGGAGGTTGTGAGTGGGTGCAGGATCCCTAGGATTGGCATCAGTGAAATGGAAGGAAAGAACACAGTGGGGGTTGTGAGTGGATGCAGGATCCCTAGGACTGGTATCAGTGAAATGGAAGGAAAGAACACAGTGGAGGTTGTGAGTGGATGCAGGATCCCTAGGACTGGACTTCACCGAAGGGAAAGTGGGGGTAGTCATGATAAACATCAAAGGGGTGGAGATGGAATGGCCCCCA